AGCTGGAAAGAATAGCCACTGTACCAAGAATTGGTCAGTGTTCAACCATTTCAAGAAGTAGCATATGAACAAAAAGGGATGGTATTGAAAGAAGAGGTCTAAACTGCACCACAGGAACTCGCAAAAAACTAGACTCCAGGAACGAACAGATTATAAATCGAAATATTTTAACAAACTGATACAGTGCTGGAGGTGCTCACTGGTCTGGGCCAAGAAATTTGGAACATAGCTATCTGGCCAATTAATTGGAAGAGCTCCATATTTGTGTCCATTCCAAAGAGAAGTGATTCAGTGGAATGCAGAAATTAAATAATAATATCATTAATATGTCATGCAAGTAAAATTTTGCTGAAGATAATTCAAAACTGGTAGTAGTACTACATAGAGAGGTACCTGCCAGAACTCAAGCCTGATTTAGAAGAGGACAAGAAACAAGGGATATCACTGCTGACATCAAATGGATCTTGTATGAAAGCAAAGAATACCAGAAAGATATTTACTTATGTTTGTTTGATTTTTGTTTTTACTATATAAAGGCATTCAACTGTATGGATCATAACAAATTATTGATAACATTGAGAAAAAAGAAAATTCCAGAAAACTTAATTGTGCTAATGAAGAAACTGTACATAGACCAAGAGGTAGTTCTTTAAAGAGAACAAGGGGATAGTGAATGCTTTAAAATCAAGACATGAAAGTACCAGGGTTGTATTGTTTCACCATACTTATCCAATTTCTATGCTGAGTAAATAACTTGAGAAGCTGGATTATACAAAGAAAGAGTCAACCACAACCTGCACTATGCAGATGACACAACTTTGCTTGCAGGAAGTGAAGAGGAATTGAAGTACTTACTGATGAATATCAAAGACCACATGGCCTTCAATACAGATTGTACCTCAACGTAAAGAAAATGAAAATTCTTGAAACTGGACCAATCACATCATGATGTGATTTCACAACTGAAGTTGTCAAAGGCTTTATTTTACTTGGATCCACAATCAACACTCATGGCAGCAGCAGTCAAGAAATAAGTGATATCTTACATTAGGCAAATCTTCTGTTAAAGAGCAAAGTTCTCACTTTGAGGATTAAGGTAAGCTTGACCTAAGACTTGTTGTTGTCTTTTTTTTTTTTAAATCACCTTATATGTATTCAAAAGCTGGACAATGAATAAGGATGACCATAGAAGAATCTGTGTATTTGAATTATGGCGTTGACAAAGAATACTAAAAGTACCTTGGATTGCCAAAAGAACAAACAAATCTGTCTTAGAAGAAGTGCAGCTAGAATGCTTCTTGGAGGCAAAGATGGCAAGACTTTGTTTCACATTTCTTAGCCATGTTATTAAGAGAGACCAGTCCATGGAAAAGGACATCATGACTGGAAAAGAAAAGGGTCCACTAAAAAGAGGAAGGTACCCAAGGAGATGGATTAACACAGAAGCAGCAACAATTGACTCAAACATAGCAACAGTTGTACGAATGGTACAGGACTAGGCAGTGTTTTAGTGTTTTGTTCTGTTGTTCACAGGGTCTCCATGAGTCACAACTAGCTCAATGGTTTCTAACAACAACAACAAAGTAAAACCATTTGGGAAGTTCTACTCTGTCCTATATATATACTCATTATAAGTAGGCACCAACTTGACAGTGCACAACATGTGATAATTGAAGCTTATCATCATAAAAAATTTACCACAGTCTTTCCTTTAGTTTTTAAATTAATGAAATAAGTTAGCTACGTATATTTCTTGAGGTGCATGATTGCTCTGTAGGATAAGTACTGGACTGCAAACCACACAGTCAATGGTTCAAGTCCATCAGTTGCTCCACAGATCAAGATGAGACTTTATGCTCCCCCAAAGATTTAGTCCTGTAAACCCTATACAGGGTCGCTATGAGTCTAAACCAACTTGACGGCACTTAATAACAACAATGTATATTTCTTATACATCTTACATGATTTCCACAACATATGCAAATGTAAATGATTTTCAGCACTCTGACCTATCAACACAGAGCATACAAATTCTTGACATAGTTGGCCCTTACTGATTCATCACAATCTCTCAAGTCTCAAAGCTTAAGAAAATATCCTGAAATGACTTATAGTCTACAAATCTTCCTGCTTATTCATTATTTTCCCCTCCTATCTGGATACTTTTTATTTTTAGTTTCTATTAAAGAAAATCTTAGAAATCAGCTAGCTAACTGAATAGATACACAGATGTGTCCTAATTTTCCTTTTTTGATTTTATTTCTCACTTTATCTCTTTTATTGTTGTACTTTCTTATATTGGACATAAAGACAAAGTAATGGAAGTAATTTTCATGTCTAGCACATTTCTGTAAATTAGCAATTAGAAATTTATCAAGCGACAGGGAGATAAGGGCATTGGAGCAAAGGCCAAAGTAATAGTGGCAGCTGAGAGGCAGATTTGGATCCTGTCTGCTCTCTAAGAAGCAGAGCCAAAATCTAGGTCATTATATTCCGCAGGGAGCTTTGAAATACCTTCTAACTTCATGCAGCACAGAGCTGAGTCTTTTTTGACCTATTTTTGTACACTAGAAAAGTAAAGCTGCCAGGCCATGGAGGCTCTGAGTGTTGGCTCTATGCCTTTCCATTGCTGGACAGTCCCAAAATAGCTCTTTCATGATTCTTCCTTTCGAAGAAACAATAACTTGATCATATTTGCTATCTCTTGACTCAGAGACCAATGTTTCCTTTATAACATCACTTTTAATTTGTATCCATATTGAAGTATTATTTAAACATTACTGAAGTCTGAAACTGTTTAGCTCTTTGCTGTTTTGAGAGTCAGCTAGTAACCAGAGCATGTATATTTTCCTTTGCAAACACATTTTATTTACTGGGTTTTCGTTTAATGTTAGTAAATGCCTCTCTTCGTTAAGCCTATATTTAGCACAGTTCCAGAACTTTTTGGTTACACTGGCTGATGTTTACAATTTGTTGTTGTTGTTGTTGCTAGGTGCCTTCAAGTTGGTGCCGACTCATAGCAACCCTATGCACAACTCATAACAACCCTATGCACAACTCATAGCAACCCTATGCACAACTCATAGCAACCCTATGCACAACTCATAGTAACCCTATGCACACAACTCATAGCAACCCTATGCACAACTCATAGCAACCCTAAGCACAACTCATAGCAACCCTAAGCACAACTCATAGCAACCCTAAGCACAACTCATAGCAACCCTATGCACAACTCATAGCAACCTTATGCACAACAGAATGAAATATTGACCAATCTTTACAATACTACCTCTAATTTTCCTGATTCCAGAAATGATAATGAAACACAAATGCTTCAACATGGTAACTGCTGATTTGATAATGATGTCTTAATCTGCCACCCTGTGTTCATCTCACACCATAGTTGAGTGTTCATCCAATATGAATCACATGCCATTTCTAAAATAAAAGTATTACAACAAACAAATCATTAACCCATGTTATCTATTTTCACTACTCTCACAAGATTTTACTATAATGCCACTTCTCTTTCTTTCTTTTTTTCTAAGAGAGTTAAAACACTTTATAATCTTGAAAAGTCAGTGAAATGTTGCAAATGAACCTAAGCAAAGTTGTACTGGACAACAGGAGGGTCAATACATTTGAAATACAGTGCCAGTGAAAAATATTGAAAGTACCATGGAGTGCCAGAAGAATAAACAAATGTGTTTTGGAAGAAATACTGCCTGATTGCCCCTTGAAACTGAAGATAGTAAGGCTTGGTTTCTCATACTTTGGAAATGTTCTCAGGAAAGACCAGTCCTTGGAGAAGTACACCATGCAGTGGAGAGTCAGTGAAAACGAGGAAGACTCTCTCTGAGACGGATTGACACAGCAGCCGCAACAACAACAACCAGGCAGTGTTTGGTTCTGTTGTACATGGGGTCACTTAACAATAACAATTCACATTTAACATTTGGACTTGAATCATGTTTATTCCTGTGTCTAACTCTTTTCTCCACCAGGATTGTGAGCTTCCAGTGGGCAAATGACGTGGCCCGCTTATTAACTTATTTGGCAGAGCAGCTACCACCAATAAGTGTAGACTGAGCAGTATTCAATGTATGTTTGTTAAATTGAAAAATTACCTGATTGTGCTGAAGTAGAAAACATTAATATAATAGATCAAAAAATAAGACCATTTTTCTGTTCAACTAATATTCATGTTAAATATGCTGTTAACATTTTATCCTGAATTCACACATTTCAGGGGGGCGGGAGAGGGGGGAAGTTACCTGAAGTCATGACTTCCAAAAGTAATTTAATTAGTATAAATTTTCCTTTCCAGTGCTCTAAGAAGCTCTGGTAGCGTAGTGGTTACGAATCGGGCTGCGAACCTTAAGGTCAGCGGTTCCAAACTACCAGCCGCTCCACGGGAGAAAGATGAGGCTTTCTACTCCTGTAAAGATTTACACCCTCGGAAACCCTGTACAGGGTCGCTATGGGTCGAAACAGACTCGACGGCACTTAACAACAACAAGTATCTCTAGAAACCATTCCTAATTATTTATTCCCTTCCTGATCTGCTCCCAGGCTCATTCATTTAGCTATTTCTTTCTTTTGCTAAGTCAGTTTATTTCCTTTGTGGAAAGGTATAGGGTATATTATCAATATATACATGTTTTGTGATTTCATCGACAAATAAGAATGAATTTCTTCACTAGATCATCTTTCAATTGAAAAAATTGGAAGATGCAGGCTAGGATTATTAGTATTTTTTAAAGCTTTAAAACCTTTGTTGTTGTGCAGTGCCGTCAAGTCGGTTCCGACCCATAAACCCTGTATAGGGGTTTCCAAGGAGCGGCTGGTGAGCTTAAACCGCCGACCTTGAAGGTCAAACTGACTTTGCAGTCTGGCGCATTAACCCACAGTGCCACACCAAGACTCCTTTAGTGACACGTAATTAGCTAAAGTTCACAATAAGACATCACTGTGATGCTATCATTTATTTATAGTACCTGTATATGCGAATTGAACAAGGTCCCAGAGGGCATTGGGGTCTATGCCTTCCATCTTGATTTCCTCTTGCTTGGCTTCACAAACATCACTTGTAAACATGGCCGCAAAGTAGTCAGAGACAGAACTCAGAACCAGCCTGTAAGAGACACAGGATCGAATTTAAGCCATGAATGCCAGTAATAAAAATATCCATTGTCAACCAGAATAACGTACAGAGAACAGACTCATCAATCAGTTAATGTATTCATTGTCTTAAGGATTTTACTGTTTAAACTGATTTAGAAAATTGTGCTATATTCTTTCCTTACAAAACATTCTCCTTATTTTCTTCTATCTTTTTTATTGTTTCTCTTCACTTAAGACTCAATTTTATTTTTTATCTACCTACAGAATCAGTTTGTACAATACTATTTTTGGTGTTGTTAAGTGCTGTGGAGTCGGTTCTGACTCATAGC